TTTTTAACTGTGACTTACTGCATTCAAGACATTAGGATCTGCTTAACTCCTAACTCTACTAAATTTACGCATTAAACTTAAACAAATTTATCAAGTATAAAGACTTAAAAAATAAGATTATGAATAGTTTTAATTAAAGAATTTTGATGACGAACTCAATTACAAATAATGTGTAGAGATCACGTCAAACTATATGAAGACACGAAAAAGCAGAAAGATATAAGTTTTTAATTGATTCCTTTATTAATATTGAAACTCGTATTTGCAAAAGAGTTTACAAATCTGCAAAAAAGTTTTTTTATAACATAAGCAAAAAGTCTATCTATTTATATAAAATTTCTTTTATCACAGCTAACTATTTATTATGCTATAAACTAACTAATTTAGCAAAATAAAATATAAGTAAAATAAATACATTAAGAATAATAAAAATATGTAAAATAATAAAAATATAAAATATAATAAAATAATAATAAAATTTAGAATATTAAAAATACGTATAACATTAAATATTCTTAGACTTCGTTTAATTTGTAAAATTATGATTATTATCAGTATTTGGAAGATCTTCAGAACTATATAGATCCTCTGTATTTTCAGAATTCGCAGCATTCTCAGTATTTTCAGAATTCTGAATTAGGAGATCATCATATTGCGTTACTCACGTGACTTCATTATGATTAGCTAATTGCTTCGTTAATAACAGAGATATTAGATAAATATATCCTGAAAGTGCAAAGTATGTTATAGAATAATTAGTAATTACAGCAAGACAATAATCCTAAGCATACTAGTATTATTGCTAAGGATTTTCTTACTGAAAAAGTTTCAGAGATTATGGATTAGCTCTCTAATAGTCTAAATCTAAACCCTATTAAAAACCTTTAGGCAATCATTAAAAGAAATATGGAGTTGCATAGGCCAAAAAATCTTAGTGAATTAGAGTATTTTTTGGGGAAAGAGTGGTGAAAAATTTCAGATAGCCTTCTAATTCATCTTGTAAATTCAATATCACAATGTTGTAAGAAGGTTATTAAAAAAAATGGTAAAAGAATATCATACTAAATTTTTTTAATAAAATTTACTGATTATTGGCTTTAAAATAATATATTATAATAATTAATTGGATTAGCTATTATTAAATAAATACAATTTAAAAAATTGCCATTTTTTTTACATACTACTGTATATACAAATTGATGATTTATTTCATATTTAACTAATATTTTTAAAAATATAATTAAAAATGTAAAATTTATTAAATCAAATCTAATATCTAAATAAAAAAATATTTTAAAATGATAGATGATATATTTATTATAATATATAAATAAATAATTATAAAAATATTAATTATATTTCATTATAGTTTATTAGTCTAAAATGAAGTGTAGAACTATATATAAAGAAAAAATATTCTAGTGTAGTTTATTTAATAATTAAGTCAATATTGATTAACTTTTGTAATTACATAAAATATTAAATAAAGCAAATATCTGTATAAATTTTTTTAGTTAAGATCATTTTAAACTTAAAATAGTTCTTATTTTCTTAATTATATTATAAAATTAATAAATTTTATAATAAATTTTAGCAACTTCTAAATTTATAGATATTAAATATTTAGTTAAAAATATTAATTATTTATTAATAATTTATAATTATAATAAATATTAAATTGATAAATTAATTTTATCATTATCAAAATTAATTAATACCAAAGTATATTTATTTTGATATTTAAATTAAATCATATATTATTTTTTACATATAGAAAATTTGCTAGAAAAATCAGACTTTAAAAATTTTTAATAATATTTATTTTTTATTAAATTTTAATTTTTAATGTTATAGATTAAAATATAATAAATTTTAATTTAATTAAAAAAATTCTTAAAGTCTGAATTTTCTAAAAAAAACTTTCTATTTAGATAGATATTTATATTTTTTATTTATTTTAATTTAAAATTATAAAAGAATTTTTTATAATTAAAAATAAAATTTTAAAAAATTTTTTTTAATAATAAAAATTACTTTATAAAATAAGAAACTTGATTTTAAATAAATGATAATCAAAAAATTATTATATTACTATAAAATATTTTTAACTAATAATAATTGAAATTAAATAATTTTTTACTATTATAAATTAAAAAAATTTATTATTAAATTATTTAATAAAATATTATTATACTAATTTTATAATACTTAAAATTTTCTATTAAAATTATTTAATAGGATATTATTATTCTTTAAACTATAAGTATAAAATTATTTTTAAAACATTTTAGAAAATTTAAAATATTTTGAATCTAATAATTATAAAAAAATAAAATAAAATTTTTAGATTTATCATATTATGATATATCTAATAGTAGTATTTTTAAACTTTAAAATTCATAATTATCAATATATATTAATTTTTTAATTTTTTAATTTTTAAAAATAATTTATTATTTTAATAATTATAAAAATATATAAATTTAGTTTATTGGTTTATTATATTAAAATCTATTAAATAGTAGTATTTTTATATTTCTGAAATTAATAAATAACAAGATATATGAGTTTAAAATTTTATTTATTTTTTAATAATTTATTATTTATTTATTTTTAAAATAATCACTAGTTAATTACATTTTTTTTAATTTTTACTTAAAAAATATCATAAAATTTATTATGAAGGTATTAATTTTTTAATAATATATTTTAAATAATTAAAAATGATTGATAAATTTGTAGTTAAAATAGTTAAAGAAATACTAATTTGTAATACTTATAATTTTATTATTAAAATTATTCTACAGAATATTATTATGCTGATTTTATAAAAATTATTTAATTATTTTTTTCATATTTATTTTTTTTTTTTAAAAAAAAATTTTTAAATAAAAATTTTTGAATTTTAAAAGGATTTGAAACTTCAATAATAATATTGATTATTTTTAAATTTTGTATCTAAAATCTAATGTAGATTTTTAATTAAAATTATATAAAAAAGAGAAATTTTACCAAGTTAATTACTTATTTTATTAATAAGATAATCAACTATAAAAATTTAATTAAATAAAATTTATATATTATATATTAATATAAATTAAAATTCTTATTTTTTAATAGATAAAATGTTGTAGCCTAGTTTAATAACTTAGTTTTCAAATTATGATAATTAAATTAAAAATTAAAAATATTTATAAATTGTAATATTTATTTAAAAATAAAGTAATTTAAAATTTTAGAATAATCTGATATTTTATGAATTAAAAATTAAATTAAAAGTCAGTATATTATTAAATTAGTATTTAAAAATAATAATAATAAATTTAATGATTTTATAAATATAATTCAAAAAAGATTACCAAAAAAATCATAAATAAAAAACTGATTTTAGTTAATAAGTAATAAGAATAAAAATATAAAGTTAATTAATATTTAAAATTAAAAATACTAAAAACAAAAATTTAGATATTTACATAGTGAAAAGATTACAAATATAAATATCTAGCAATTTTATATACTTATTATCTTGCAATTCTAGCTTTAAATATTTTAAACGAGAAAGAATTTAATATTATAAATCAAACAATTAATGAATTTTATATAAATTAAATCCTGAAATAGTATAAAGTATTTTAATATTATATAGTTTATTTATTATTATCTGTAAAATAAAATAATATGATAAATTATGAAAATTTTGCATTACTAATTAGTATAAATTAATTATTAAGTTGAGCAGGCCTATAATATATATAAGTACAGTACATTTATTATATTAGTAATAAATTAAAATTATTATTAGTGTAGTTAGAACTTTAGTTATAGTCAATGACCAAAATTATGCAGACATTTTGATTTGTCAAAATTAGGCAGCTCGATATTTACGTGATTACATAATTAAAAACAATACGTTCTTTTTACTTATAATGATAAACAACACCCAAACCTTTTCTCTTTTAAGTAAATTCATGTCAAATATGAAAGTACTTACTAAATGTGAACAGTCAGGTTATACCATAGCTAAACAGCTAGGGAGCAATAAAACGACTGTTTATATTATTCTTAAATGTCTTTGCGAAACCCAGTTCTTTAACACCAACTCCACCATCATCTAGTATTACTTGAAAAGTATGTAAAGGATGCATGGAAAGATATTCCTCCAGAATATTGCAAAAAACTCGATGGCATGCCGCAGCGAATTGTCGCAAATGAAAATAGGATTAATTATTAAATTTTTTTATAAATCAATAAATAAAGATATATTTGAATTTATTTTGTTAAACTTTTATTTTATTTTATTATGTGTATATAATTTTTTTTAATTTTAAAATGTCCGCATAATTTTGGTCGTTGACTGTATATTGAAATTATTTCCTACTTTATAAAGTTTATAACTAAAATTTATATGATCATTAACAATATGTAAACAGTAACAGAAAATAAGATTTATTTTATAAAGTAAACTAGAAATTTAAAATATATTAAATTTAATTAAACAATCTTTACACATTTAGTTTATAAATGAACTACTTATTTTCAAATATAATTTCCCTTTGCTAAATTGGTTTATACCTGTCACGTGTAATATATTTTATTTCGATTAAAAAAAAAAAAATAATAAAAAATAAAAAAATATAACTTCCCAGATTTTTTTATTATTTTAGAATTTATTTTCAATACATTCTTTATTAATCTTAGTACAAAATTTCCAAATCACGATTTTTTCGCTCGTCCTATTTAAATTCTTATTCTCTTTGTAAAATTCAAGTGATACAAAAATTTTAATTTTATTAATAATATAAAATAAATAATAAATGCTGCAGTAAGTTCAGTACATATTCAAATAATAGAAAATAATAAATGATGTATTTTTTTTTTTTAAAAAAAAAAACCTCCCTAAAAGAAAATTATTCATACATTTATTTTAACATATCATATCATTTCTTTATCTTTTTTTTTTAAAAAAAAAATAAAATAAAATTTTAATTTCCGACAGAAAATCATTCATAATCGTCAAATTCTTCAAAGTTTACTCCAATTTCTCTTGCAACTTCGTTGACATATTGTCGCACACCATTTTCCTTCATCTCTTCTACCCTTCCTTTCCTTACAGCATATACCACTTTAGCAACATGCTCAACAAACCATCTATCGTGACTAACAATGACTACAGCTCCTTCAAATTCATTCAAAACCTCTACAATAGTTTCAATTGTGATCATATCTAAATGGTTGGTAATTTCATCGAGTAATAAAATATGTGGTGCATTATAAACTTGCAACGCAAATGCAACTCTAGATTTTTGTCCTCCAGATAAATAAGATATTTTCTGAGTTGCCACATCACCGGAAATTCCAAATCCTCCCAAATGAGATCTTGCATCACGTTCGTTAATTTCTGGATACAATCTCTTCATATATGCAACGGCAGAAAGATCTAAATCCAATGAATCGACATGATGTTGAGCAAAATATCCCATTTTCATTCTAGGATGCCTTGTTATAGTACCTCTTGTGGGTTCCAAATTACTGGAAAGTAATCCCATCAAAGTTGATTTACCTTCACCATTAGCACCAACAAACCCAATCCTTGCACCTTCTTCAATGTTAAGTGTTACATTTTGAAGTATGGACTTGGTGGTTTTGGGATAAGTGAATGAAACGTTTTCCACTTGTAATAAAGCACCATGGTGACGTAATGGTTTAGGTGAAGGAATATTCCAACTAATTGATGCTTCTGCCTTTTCGACTACAATATCATCACGATCTGTATTATAAAATCCCACTCTATGCTTATTCAATTTGAATCGAAATCCATCTTCAGTTTTGTTCATACCGAGACGTTCGAGTTTCTAATACATAAATAAAATCAACATCTCTATGAAATGTAGTAAAGTAGAAATTAATGATTCATTCATACCTTCTTGCGACTCGCAATAACTCCCAAAAGTTTATCATCTCCACTTTCTTTAGCCCTTTTTTGTGACTTTTGGATACTTGATTCAATTTGCTTCTTTTGCTTCTCTTGGGCTTCAAACATTCTTTGTTTTTTCAATCGTTCATCTTCTAAATTTTTCTCAAATTCGTTGTAATTACCAGTATGATAAGTCAATTTGGAATCTTTGAAGCGAATTATTTCTGTAACTGTGTTATTAAGGAATCGACGGTCATGTGTAACAATGACCATGGTAGTATCGGTGAGCGAATTCAAATACGATTGAAGCCAAAGAATGGCAGGTAAATCCAAGTGATTAGCTAGAAATAAAATATAAATTTAGTCTAAATGTATGTAATAATAATTAAAATCACATATATCATAAACATACTAGGTTCATCTAATAAAAGAATGTCCGGTCTCAAAAATAATGCTTGAGCTAATGCTACTCTCTGATAAAAAAAATAAATTAAAATGAATATAATACATAAATTTTTGTTAAAAAGTTGATATTATATTTACCATACGCCAACCACCAGAAAGAGAAGAAAGCGATGCCATTGGAGAATGTTGCTGTTTCTCGGAAAATCCAAGACCCGATAAAATTTCTCGTGCTCTTGCTTCAGCAGAGTCCGCGCCAATCTTTACGAAACAAAAAAAACGACCGCCTTAAAAAAAAAAATACTTTCATCGATTACATCGTTAATTTATGATTATAACCCTACCTGTTCAAGTTTTATATATAATTCCTCTAAAAGCAAGTAAATTGCCGCAGTAAAATCTTCGTTTGGATTTTCGTTGAACGCTCTGCGTGTTTAAACTCGATTAAGACTACTCAATTTTTAATTACAAAAAAAAAAAAAAAAAAAAAATTGACTTTACATACTTTTGAGCCTCAGCTACTCTGGCTTCAACTCCCAACAATTCCTGTCTTGCTTCAGCTCCTCTACGACCACTTCTATGAATTGCAATTTTTTGAGCCTCTTCTAATTCACTCTGTAACCTTTCAGCTCTAACACGTTTAACAGCAAATTCAATTTCTTTTGCATTATTACTATCTGCTGCAGTTTGTAAGGTTAGTTTTTCATTCAATAAACGAGATCTTTCCTTATCGGCTTTAAGAACAATTTGAACTATATTTTCTCTTTCATCTATATTGTCCAATTGTTCAATGTAAAGGACTCGAATATTTTTAGGAAATCCAACAAGGGTCCCATGTCCAATGCATTTGAGAAGTGCTTTTTTATTACATGAAAATTATTTATTTTTAAAAAAATTTTATGTATGGTTAAAAAAGGAAAGAACTTTATAACAAGAACTTACTTGATTTTCCAATTCCGTTTCGACCAATTAGACCGTAATGAACGCCGGTTTTTAGTTGTAATCTTGCGTCAACCAACAATTCTTTATGACCGACCGTAATATTCACATCTTTCAAATCAACCTTTAAAACGAAACGGAATGATTTTTAACGACGCGAGAATTAATTGAAGTCAAATGTAAAAATATCATACTTCTTTTGACAGAGTCTCTAATGTTTCGGTATGAAACCTTGATTGTTGCGAATATGCGACTATTTCCGATTCCTTTACAACGGATTTTTGTACTTTAGTTGAGACGGTCGATTTGGTGGCTTTGACCGGTTTCTCTTCAATGTTGGAATTGACCGGGGTAGTTGTTGACAAATTTAACTTTATTTTAATGAATATCAATTTTAATTAATTAAAAAAAAAAAAAAAAAAAAATTAATTAATTAATTAATTAATTAGGATTAATAAATTACCTTATCTAATTTTGCTAAAACTTTATCAGGTAATTTTCCAGAGTCGGTAGAATCAGTTGCCGCAGTTAAACTTAACGCGGAAGATAATGAGCCATATAAGGAATCCAAATCGGATTCATTCATACCAGCATCAATCAAGAATTGTTCGGTAGCTTCACGTAGCGAATCAACGTCCTCGATATCTGACAATATACCAGTAATGTATTCTTTGGTATCATCATCGAATGCTACGTTTGAAGGTAAAGCAGCAAAGAAATTGGCGGACAATGAAGAATTCATTTATGATAAAAGTAGATCAATGTGATCGAAATATAAATTATTCAGGGTTTAAAAAATTTAGTAAAAAAAAAAATAAAAGTAGGATTATTAACTGCTAGTTTATATTATTTTTTATTGCTGCGTCGCCTGAAGTTATAAGCAGTAAAAACAATGTTATTTACACAATGCAAATTTACGGCCGAACCAATTAAAAACAGGTTTAATGCTTTGGCTGCGGTTCGATGCGCAGTTTCTATATGATTCACAGAATGACATGCCGAGGTGGGACTGCGGATTAATTAAAAACGTGAATCTCGGAACTAATAAGCATTTCGATACTATATATGATTTTACTGTAAATGTAAAAGAACAAATTAATTTATTTATAAAAAAGCGTTTATGTGTTCATTCATGTCCACAATTTAAGTTTCATTCTCATAATGATTCATGTAAATGAAAGTAAATAGCAAAAAGAAAAGAAATAATTCATCTTTCATCAAAATATCGTTCATTTAGTTCATTATTCGATATTATAAAAATGAAGGTAAAAGTGTTCAGTGGTTTTTATCGGGAAGACAGCCATTTCTCTAACTTTTATTGACATTCTTCTTTCATATAGTAATTATTTAAACATCAAATTTAGTATGCGTTTATATTGTCTTTAAAAATCCTGAAATGAAAGTCCATTTACTGTTCTCGTAAGAATTTAAAAATTATCTTTCAGTTCGTGAAATATTTCAGTAACGTGACTTTTGGCCCGAGCGATTATGCAGTGACACGTGAAATTGGGCGTGACGCGTAGTGCGACAAATAGGATTCAACAATTTTTTGGTTCTGTGTAACAGTGATTTGTTTGTAGTTTATACGAAATTTTTCGATGGTTCCGAATTTCTCCGAGATCTTTCATGTTTGTTTATTTTTGGTTTTCAATTACAAATAATTTTTTTTTTTCCTAAGAATATTTTTATTCTCTCATTTCAATATTCGTTTTACGATAATTTATTTTGGAGGTTTACGCGGCGCAGCAAATCTCACGATATCATAACGTGTTACAAAAAGTTAACAATCTAATTTGTAACCTTGTTAATCCTAATCAAGACATTTCCGACTAATTAATAATTACGCCAAATTTCTGACGTTGATTAAATTTTGTGTATCAAGTTCTCTCTCCTGTCTTTTCAAAAAAAAAAAAAAATTTTTTTTTTCATCAATATTATTTTTATATACTATTGCTGTTTTTAATACGATTCCTGGGACAAAAAAAAAACAAAAATTAAAAAAACATTCTATCACGGGTAAGCATTACCATTTGTAGTATCTTTTACTTTGGTAAAGTTTCCCAATGATGATATATAAACCACAAGATAATTATTTTTTAAAAAATGTCCGCAGTATTGACAACTTATTTTGATTGGTTTCCAAATTAACTGCAGTCTTTGATATAATGTCTACCTTGCCTGGTGATTGTCTAGCACAGATCTTTTCCTACCTTGATGAAGATAGCAAATCTCTTTACGCTTTCATAAGGGTGAACCGTCTTTGGTGTGTAAATGCTATCAAATATTTATGGAAACAACCTCTACGATTCGCGCTGATCTTGAAGAGTACACCCGATTATACTTTACGTCATCGAACAAAAACTGGAAAGCTTACCGAGACTTTCATTAAATGTTTGATCCATAATGAGATGGTTTCTGGAGGCGATATTCAAAATAAGAGGAGAAGATCTCCAAGGGTTCCTTTGGTGTCACCCCCATTATTCAATTATATAGGATTTATACGAAGGCTTGATCTTGATGATTTGGGTTTGGCGATTGCAGAGTGGGCCGAATACATCTCTTCGCCAAAGTATAATCGAAACTCGTCATTGGTGAAGGTCAGGAATGTGGTGTTTTCCGTATTAATACAGCAAAGACCCGCTAGATATAAATCGATCAAGGATTTTCGAGAGGATAAGTCATTGATCAATGAGTTAACCGTTAGGATATGCGAATTATTAATAAATCAAATTCAAAAATTGGATTACCTTTCAATGAAACCTAGTAAAACTTTCCCAGCTTCCGAAATATTTATAATCCATTTGATGAAGGATTCATGGTTCAACATTATCACGAGGGAGTACATGTCGATAATTAATTATCCTCACGCCAACATTTCATTATCTCATTTAGTCGAATTTGAATGGGATGAATCTAGGACAGAGGCGGAAAGTTCGAGTCGATTTTTAATTGATCTCTCTCTCGTTTGTACCAAAATTCAAACGATCAGATTTGACATGAATAAATCTCAAACACATGATTTGTTGATATCCGAGGCCTTGCAACTTCTAATTGAATCACAAACTCGTTTAGAGGAATTCGAATTGAGAAATTGTGGTTTATTTAGTTACCATATCATGCATGGTCTCAAAACTCGTGCTAGTACATTAAAAAAATTAACCTTGCGAAAAGTGAGTCCTTTAAGTCTGGAATTTATTTCTGACATTGCTTATTTATATAATTTGGAGGAGTTAAGATATTACGAAGGGGACCTTTTGAGTAAAGATGCGTGGCCATTGAGTTTTACTCATTTTCCAAAATTGATCTATTACGAAATTGATGATCTTTTTCCAACATCGATCACCGTTAATCCTGACGCGGTGATTTCAGATTCTTGTCCAATGTTACAAACATTTATTTATAATCAAAAACGGTATTACAAAGCGGAATCTACAGCCTTAATAATGAGATCGGTTGGATTTCATTGTCAATTTTTACGACATTTTGAATGTAACGCAGAAATTTGTTCAATAGATTTATTAAAGTTGGTTTTCCTATCTTCACCAAATCTTGAAACAATAATCATAACGAATGACAGAGTATCGTTAAATATTGATGGATTATTATTATTGACTCAACTGAAGAACTTGAAGCATCTGGAATTGAATGGATCGTGGGAATTTGAAGTTGAACCTTTAAAACGTTTCTTGATCAACTCTAAACCACCACTTTCGACAATTGTTTTGTCGGAGAATAAATGTTTTGAAGATTCTCATCTTCAAGTTTTATTGAATTGCTTGAAAGGAGTTTTAACTACTTTTCACGTACTTAAATTGACTAAGCGTTTGAGCATTGACATGAGAAGACAAGCTAAAGAGGACATCGAAGATTTTCTTTACAAAAGGAAAACTAATGTTGTAGAGGATTAAAAGTAGTTTTGGTGATGAGGGAAGATGTAAATTTTTTTTTTTTTTTTTATCAAGCGTTAAGGGAGGGATTGAAGGGAGAAACGTTAACGCGTTTGATATTTATCATTAATAGTAAAGTAGTGATGGTTGGTGCTGGTTTTGTTTAATAATTATTGTTTTCTTCTAAATTTTTTTTTTTAAAAAAAAAAAAAAAAAAAAATTAATAATAATAATAAATTAAAATAATTTGCACAATAAATTTTTGTTAAATTCTTTATCACAATAAAAAACAAATAAAATAAAATAAAAGTTAATTTCCTTCCATATTTAGCCATTTCTTTCGTGAATTTCAAGATCATCCGAATATATATGGAGATAATTTAAAATATCTTCTAAAAGAGAATTCTGCCATACCATATAAGTTAATGATGATTATTTTCTGGGAATTTTCCAAAACCGGAATTATCAAATTCCGAACTCTATATATTTTGACCAAAATTGAACTGGTATATGGAAATCTTTGAAGGAACAGAATAAACTTTGTATTACAAGATAAATAAAGTCAACATTAAAAAAAAACTTTCTTTTTTTTAAAAAATCAAAAAAAAAAATGAAGACTTTAAGATTTGTTTTTCTTTTAATTTTAATCTTCATTGATTTTATAATTTATTTTATACCCGTATGCATCTTATGCCTGATTCCAAATCTTATTTCTACATTAATTTGGTATATTCCGTCAACGTACCGATTATATTCATTTATCTTTACTTCAAAAGAATGCGAGTTAAGGGGGAGAATTTATTTATTTTTAATATCTCCCTTGATCATTTTATTATACATTCCATCTAGTATATTATTGTTCATTGAACACAGTATTTTTGTCACTCTGGTTTCTCCGTTAGTAATTATTATGAAAAGACCAGAATATCCTCTTCATACGCTGTCTTCAATGGCATTGTTCGTTTATTTAGCGTATCAATACATCCGCGGTAATGATCCCGACAAATTTATAGACTTGCAATTATTTAAACCAATTAACGAAGTTATGCACTTTATAAAAAATTGTTGGCACTTTAATTCCATTAAAATTGCAGATAGATGCAAATTATATATCAATCAAACTATATGTTTGAAGTTTCTTGCTATATTTGATCTATTTACGCTTTTCTTAATTTATACCTTTATCATTATACCATATTTATTCTTCATGCTTATTAACTTAATGATCATACTCGTTTTACTTAATCCATATATGATAATTTATGAAAATTTTCAAGAAAGTATTTCCAAATTAACAAAAGACAATGAATATTATTATTACTTTAAATTAATAATTTATGTTTTGTATTATGCTTTATCTTGGCTATCCTTATTTATTATTTATACTATTTGTACTTTAATGAATGGGATTTTTTGGACTTTTTCTGTAAATATTTATGTGGTTTACCATCTATTTGAGTTATATAATGTTGGTGGATTTTATAACGTAATATACTTTTTTAAAAGGATCATGATTAAATTAATCCTTATAATAATGGATATACATTTAAAAATTAATTTAGATGAATTACTTTATATTTGTTGTGGTATTGATATTATTGAATACAGAAAAAATCTTTTAGATCAAGATCATATTATATTATTTTTGTCATTCTGATCATATCAATTGTATATAAATGATTAGGTTTTAATAAATATTAGTTTTTAAAGTGAATTTTCTTTTTTTTTATAACATTCAAATTTATTTATAAATATGAATTTAATTAATAAATTTACATAAAAAAATTTTTGAATAATTATATATCATAAAAAATTATAACAGATTAATATATTAAAAAAAAAGAAAAAAAAATTT